TTACCTCACCTCTAATTAGGGCGCTATAGAAGAGGCCGGGTCCTTGATACACACATGACACTGTGGAGCTAGCTGATAATGCGCAGTATCGCTATCACAGCTCGGCCACAAGCAAGCCACATTCAGGATGTGGGAAAAATAACAGCACACCGTGAAATTAGGAGTAACCTGCACACAATTTTGAAGTAAATATATCTGGTTTTGCATGGGTGAGTTTGCATAGTGAGATTGGCACATCTATAGGTTGGTTCCTTTTAACTTTTAAGCCCAGATCAATGGAATGTTTTATGTGCAGGTATTTTGGAAAGCAGACCATCAAGACAAACATTTAAATGGCAATCCATGTCATTTGTGGAGAGAGATTTCAATTATAAAATTTTGAAATGCAATAGTAAGCATAGATTATGACTATATTGTATAATTGTTATTTAGAAATTTACTGAGGGAAGCAATGATTATTATAGGCACTGGCTGATCCTCTCAAAATGTGAGACCATAATACTGTAACATATACTCCAAGTCATTGTATTGTTGATGCTGATGCCATAATCATACATTTCCAATACGATACAAATAAAAACAAAGAAATACTGCATCTGTAAAATTTTCTCTGTAGAGTAGGGCTGAGCAATTTAGGGAAAATATCTCATTGGAATTTTTCCTCCCGGCATTGTAGTTGTGATTAGATTTGCAATTTAGTTTTAGTAACTGGATTCTGTTCAAAGTTTACATATTTAACACACGTAGAAGAATTGACATTAAGACTGAAGTATGAACTAAAAAACTAGGAAACATTTTGTTTAGCAGAGGGTTGGCATTTATTTTATGCAAAGTAAGACTTGATATTTTGTTGTTTGTGGAAGAAATTAGGGTACTTCAAAAATTGCAGCCTTGATGATTTGCTAATTCTGTGTATTCAAATTTCAATTGGACTGCGATTAATCTTGCAATAGAGGAGTACATTCTTATAAAGCTAGAAACACTTGGAAACCACTGTAAGAATGGCTAAACAATATTTTTCTTAGATGTATATATCTTTTCCAATAAGCCCTGCTCCTCCCTCCACTTCTCGCTCTGCTGTCTCTCTGCTCCCCTTCCTCCTTTGACTCATTAATCCCGTGTCCATCATAGGGTCTCCGAGTATCACCCCATTTTATAAACTGTGCGGGGGCATTACCATATCCCCTCCCTGCTCCACTCCCCATGGCAGATCCCTATCACACACAGGCCACAGCACCAACAAAAGAGCCACTGTGATCAAGGCCGGATTCAGCCTGACGACCGCTCTATTAGCATTGGCTGCTCCTGCCTCTGCCCTGCCGCACCACTGTTTGAACAGGGCTGGGGTTTCTGCCTGTCCTGGTCAAGAGGAAGCGCCCGATGAATGGGGGTGATACAGTCAAGGGTGGAGGGAGGATGGCATGGCTTATTGTATAGTAGGAACAACAATATCTTTTAAAGGAGACATGTTATTATTATGGGTATTTTGTGTTGAATTCATGACAATTTTAGATTCTGTTTATAGTACATTGCCAGTTAGTAAAGAAAAGTGGGTGACGACTGGTAATGGTTTCTGAGCACTCAAATGCAGGACAATGCAGGATTACTCAAGCTTTCAGGACTGAATCAAAAAACAATTCTGACTAAACTAAAGAAGAGGGAAGAGTGTAATAAAAGCTCATAAAAGTGAATTTTGCATAATGTGTGTTTAAAGGTGTTTAAATGAAGACTAAGCATTTACACTGTGCAGATCATTTGTTTGGGGCTTGTTGCTTGTTTTTTCCGCTCTAAGTCAAGTGCAGTGGTTGTGTGGTGTCTCTGGCCATCTGAACCTTAGTGGACTGGTGATAAGAAGCAGGAGCACATTCCTGGGCCCAGTTCGTCAGCAGCAGAGCCTATAGGAGAGTGGGTCACACTGTGAATGTGACAGGATTTTAAACAGTACACAACTAAATATAGCAGGGACGCCACTATCAGAAAATGAGTTAGGAGTGTGCTGCTGGTCGTTTAGAAAGTCATTATTCTTATCATTGCTGTCTCTGAAATAATTTCAGGTCTCTCCATGCAATGAATACTGTATAATAAACTAAACATGTGAGAATGCAAACAAACTTTAGTAATCTGGCCCCGGAGTCACCATCAGGGCCTTTTAATGTGTGCTGAGTATTTCATTTTCCATATTCAGCGCAGGGCCCCGTATCTCCATCAGTTTGAAAATGCTCCATTTAGTTGCTATCTGCTGGAGTGGGGAAGTGAGATGCCCTTATTCTGAGTCTATTAAAGCTCAATTCTATCTCATCTTATCTGCCTAATCTTTGTGTCTTATTGACCATGAAGTTTATCTGTGATCTCCCGTTCCCCTTATTATCTCACAACACTGTAGCTCTATTTGCTAGTCTGCAAAAGCACAAGCGCTTGCATTCACCGCTGACTTGTACGCACTCTTCTTTTCCAGCCGTGTAATAGAATGTGTGCATAGAAACATATTTTTCCTGTCTTTCTTTCACTTGGATTGCCTTGGCAGGAGGTAGTTTAACGCCACTCACACTATCTTCCCTTGATAGTACGATATTTATCTGTCTGTATCATCTTAAGTGATGGTAGCCTCATGGAGTGCCTTCACGCCTCACTTCACTCCTCGGCAAATCAGCAGAAGGCATCAGATAAGATCATAAAACTGTACTTTCATTTAAAAGCTCCACTGCCACCACCGTTGCTGCTGTGTCTGTATTTGAGATCTGTGTGCGCTAATTCTTTTCATGTCCGGAGCTCCTGCAGATGTACGCCTCTACAAAGGCCTCATTTAGATGGCTAATGAAAAGAGCAAGCAGTTTGTGGACATCACGGGGGTCTTTTATGACTCACAGTGTGCAAAGAAAGGGAATCAGGAGAGCCCCACTTTGTGAACTCAAATTATGGCTAGACCAAAGCTGAGAGGCGGCTGCCACAATAGAACAAACAAGGAAAAGTATCTGTGTAGAGTAATGGTGTATATTACCACTAGCTGCATCATATATCATAGGCGTATATCAAAGTCCAGATAGCTTACAATTAAATATATTTTATCAAAACAGGTGACTAGTACTTGTTCTTGCAATGTTAAAAGTCCTACACAAAGTAGATTTGTGTGAGCTTTAAGCCGTGTTATAATGTTGTTACCTCCTCAGTGACATACTTGGAATCATGTTTTGTCTACAAGCTCAAAATGCTCTGTTCCACCTTGTCATGTCATGAAGTGGTGGTTTTCAAATTGTCAGCAACCTTTTACCTTTAGTTCAGTAGAGATTGGCAACTCCAGGGTTGAAATTATCCAAATGACTAGTGAACGTGCATGGAGTTTAAAAACACAGTAAAGTACTTCCTGCATTATTGTATTGTGTTTTAATAACTCAGCCTAAATCTGCGAGATTTGTGAGTTAAACATGTGTAAATGAAACAACACACAACTCCAGGTATGTTTTTTTTTTTTTTTTAAATAAATAAACACTAATGACACTGCCTTGTGGGACCCCTGTGGATACAGTGGAAGGAGTGATGTTATTCCACACCAGAATAAAACAGCAGAATTTTGTCCTTGGCCAATGACTGACCTTCTCATCATAAAATGTAAAAATAAAGAAAGTTGTTGCCAATATTTAAACAGTCCATGTTCCTAACGACTTTACTCTAGTCATTCACTGGCAGGCATCTTTTAGAGAGGAGACACATATTCTTAATAAGATTCAAATGCCGGCTGAATGCAGGATGCAGGACTAATACAATTCAGGTACCAGTACAGTAATTCCATCAATGTCCTTGATTGAAGCAAAATGGTAATATGCAAATACCAAAAGAGAGATGTACAGCTACAAGCAAAACTCTGAAATCATTTAGATTTAAAGAAAGAATATTGCACAGAGGGGGGAAAAATTAATCACACGGAAAAGTGTCTCCTTTAAGATTGCACTGGTGTATTACCCGGAGGCATGGAATGTAAATGGAAAAATCAACATTGTACCATGTGATAAGGCTACCAAATTAATAAAAGTATTTTCTTTGCCTCTCCCTTGCTGATGCCTGTAAGTCTGGAAAGGACTTTTTGCTTTTTTTCATTCTGTTTCTATGAGTGGTTTTGTTTTGCAAGTAGCAGGATTAACATCTGTGGTCACCTTTGTTTGTGTGCGCTTTCTCAAGAGCTTAAACAGAACAGCAATGTGAAATTTAAAATGCTCCCCAGTTTTGGCATAGACTATCATCTCTTATGCCAGCAATCAAATGACAACCAAACAATACAGATTTTGGAGTTTGCCATTTGGTGAAATATTGTTTGATTTCCTTTAAAGGTGCACTGTGTAACATTTCTGATGTCTTCCTTGAAGTGTTATTACTTTGTCTAGAATGTTCCACAGTATAGATCTATAAACCTATCTATCACAAGAGAAACAAGCAGGTAACAGCAGTACGCCACATTACAGTTCAGATCTGTGGAGAGTCGCCCCTATTTACAGAGGGATTTATTGTATTTTTGAGCAAATAGAAACACCAATAATTAATAAATCCTAGATGGAAATATTTAAAGTCATACCATGAAACATTCCAGGCAAAGCAATAAAATCTCCATGGAGACAAGCAGGTGACAGACCCTCCAGAGAAGTTGTGCCTTTAAATGAGTAAAGTGTTGACACTAAATGTTGTTTATTGTATGTGAAACTCCACCAGAAATATTGGCAGCAGACAGTCAATAATCATCATATTTTAATACAAACCAAACTTTTATAAAATGTTTCACTACAATATTAATACCAGTGTGAAATTATGTGCAATTTCAAATGTATTCATACCAAACATAGACGTGGGCCTGACTTCATGCTTAAAACTGAACACAATGGATTGCTGAGCTGCACCATGAGTTGCATCTGCATTTGTAGTATCTCGTCAAAGGAGCGGAGCCAACCCAGATTTGAAAAGCAGCCTGTGGGGTGTGATGAAACGTCTCAGTGCTGTTTGCTCTTCTCCCGCAGGTCCTCTGGAGGATGGCCTGGAGGAAGAGGAGGAGGAGTGTGTCTCTGAGGGGACCGAGCTCCTGACCAAAGATGAGTTCTCGGCAGAGTTTGAGGCGGAGAACATGGGCTGTGAAGACATGGAGTACTTCTGCGGCAAAGGTGATCCAACCAGCTAGTTATTTTAAACTCCAAACTCCAAAGATGCACTCCTTGAGCAATGTGAGATACGGGCTCTGTCTTTATTCCTATTACAAGACAATAAGTTTGGCAACAGTTGTGCCAAGTAAGTTCAGCGGCAGCCAGCGTGTCTGCAAATAGTTTTTAAGTCATATGAGATGAGTAACTAAGCCAAAAAATTTGCTTAAATACTGGTTCATTTAAATTATGAAATAAAACAAAACAAAAAGCATTCAAGAAAAATAAGTTCATAATTAATAAAATAGGTTTGGTTCGAATCCCCTAAACATAAACATAAATGGTAGAGCAGTCAGATCCTCACAGGTTGGCAGTGTGAATGCGTCCTGTGTTTACGTACACTCGTGTATGAATGTGTGTGTGAATAGATGAATGGGTTAGCACTTTGAGTGTCTTGAAGGTGGAAAAGCACTATATAAAACTGTGACCATTTAAAATTATTGAGTAGAGTTTCACACATGTTCAGTAACTTCCTGTACTTTCCGGGTGTGTTAAAATCATATTGGGCAGAACTTTTATCCTCATATCCTCTTAATAAAGTTACTTCTTGTGAAGTTGAAATAATTCATTAGATATTTGATCCTGGCATCCACCTTGAAGAGCTCTTGTTTGATCAGTGCAAAGTGAGATGGCATCGTCATCACTGGCCTTCCCTCTGATAGTGCTGGAAAGGTGTGCTACGCTACAGTCTATATGCCAAAGCACTGGAGAGATAGCAGCTACACTAACTCCCTGTGAACAGCACCTGCTAACTGCTCCCAGGTCCAGCACTATAAAGCCGCCAAAAGCACCCTGGTCGTCTTTGAACTCCAATTCAATTAGATAGCTTCTTTGTATGTTTGTTTCATTTCGGTCACACCTTGCCATCACAGGAGCTAATTTGTGGTCTGCTCCAGGTTACAGTGTGAAGATGACAGACTGGTCCTGCTCCCTCCTCCCTCTCCACGCTCTCTCTCCCCCTGCGGTGATGCTGCGTCGCTACCCCAGGTGTCCCCACTCATACTAACATGCGGGGGCCACAAATTTGACTTTTTAATAAAGAACCAGCGCTTTGAATGTCGGCCGCGTCTTTCCTCTTTTCAAAGGAAACTGTTTAGAATTATTTCTCCACACCTCCTAAACTGATGTGCCTCGGGATTACATTATTGAAGGGAATAAATCTTTCATGTTTGAGGTAGGCTATGCCCCAGTAATCGTATCAATAATTCGTTTTTCTTTTGTTCTTGGGCAAAAGTCGGGCGGTTGCAATTGTTTGGAAATTGCAATTACCAGCGACGCCTCGTTTGCGTAGCCTTTGTCTCCCTCTTAATATGTCCTTCTGCATACTTCAAAGTCTGTGTAATAACCCAGTAGCTATTAAAGCGATGGCATGGCATGTATTCGTAGTTACCAATAGAAGAAAAAGTACAACTACTTCAAAGGGCCTTGTCAGAGGCACTGATACTTCACTTGTTTTGGATAAAACCGCTGCAGCCCCAAATCTTCTCCCCAATCCCTGTGTTTGTGAATAAAGTCAACATTCGCTATCCCGCATGTCAAAAATATGACTTCTCTAGACACTGCTAATCTGTTTTGTGCCAAGCTTTGCTATATCTAAGCTTATAGCAGCTAAGTCTAACATTGAACATTTGAACATTTAAAACCGTGTGATGCCCCTATCCGAATTCCCTTTCTCCTCGTGGCAAGTGGTGTCCAACCATCAGGTGTAGCCATTCTCCCTCATGATCCTTGTGCAATTAGATCTATTTAAAAGTAATGTCGACGTGGCTTAAATTTACCCCACTTATGCAGAAAGTGCTGTGAATTAGCTAGGACGCAATCCTGGCGGCATTAACTGGTTTAAGTGTGTTATTCCTTCACTATAGGAGGGCAGAAGAGAGCCCCCTTGATTAGCTAAACCCTCTCAAATGTGATGGCATGCTGTAATTAGCCCGGTGTGGACTTGAACGTGGGTTTTAGAGAAGCCACTCATCCTATGGCCTTTATCTTCTATGGCTAAGGTCTCCGATGTGAGGTTCCTCCACTGTATGCTCCTCTTCTCGGTCCTAGCTTAGCCTTGTATCTGTGTAGTCGCTGTCTGAAATGGGGCTTGTCAGGGGGACCTAAAACCTCCATTAAAAGTTTCAGCTCATAATAGGTATTAAAAAGCTGTAGGAACACAAAGAGGGAGTACCAATTTTCATTAACATATGAAGCACTTATTAACTTTGATCAGAGTGCGGTAAAGTAGCAAAGCTGCTTAAAGGCGCAAAGGTCAGAAACTTGAATGCCACCAAAGACTCAGCCATTTGCCTGGAGGAAGAGGGGACTCCCCAGATAAAAGCCTCAAGCACCTCGCTCCAAGGATCCAAGGAGCACCTCGAAATCGATCTCTCTTTGGAATATCAAGTCCAGGAAGTGGTGGATATTCTGTGTTTTTGGAATAGCATTACACACAACACATTCTAGCAAAATATGTTGTGAGAGGTCAATATAAGAAATTTTGATCTGGTAATTGAACAGAGATGCAGAATATAGTTAGTATATGGTATATGTTACTAGACAGGAGATCAAAGAGAGGATTCTTGCAGTAAAAAGGGTTTATATGAGAGTAGCGCAGTAGAGGATATTCCCTTTGTTGTGGCAAAAAAAAAAGCTAAAAGTAACATACCAATTTTCAATGTATCTGCAAATGTTTGTGTTCATCAAGGGTGAGGTTTTCATCATTATTTTATACAGACAAGGCACAAGGCATCGAAATGACTCTGCCCTTGTCCTCATTGTTTGGACTGACTTCTCTGGTGCAATGATGATTAAATATGAAATACAGATCCACTTGTCAAAACAGCATTTGTCTAAAATATGTTTAATAGACTTAAAAGTTTTCAGTGTGTTTCTCATAAAGAAATGACCTTGGTTATGTCTCTGGATTAAAACCAATTCTCAGTGAGTTGGCCCCTTGTGTTGGGCTGGTTTCACTTTTATGGACAGTTCCAGATAAACTCTGTGACTCCTCTGAAGATTTATACTCTATTGACACACCTGCCGGTGTTTTTGTCCAAAAGCTGCCTTTCTTCTGAATGGGATCTTTTTACTGAAATGGTGAAATTTCACCTTGCTGTTTTACCCCCTCTTTTATTGTTGGCTATCTGTGAAGTTCAGCGGGGTGTTGCCACAAGCTGTTGCCTTTGTGCGCTCCAAGTGTTTGTGTGTGATGACAAATGACTTCCTTAGTTTGCTCTGACACTGAATTTACATGTCGCTTCATGTGTCTCATTTCCTCCATGTAACAGCTTTCTGTGAAGGCACGTTACATGTTTTTTCAGCCCAAAACGATGATTACGGGGGTCTTATAAATGTTGTGTCAGAACACCATCAAGCATGACAAATTTGTGCATTTGCACTCTTTTGAACTATTGCCCCTCAATAAAAAGAATTATAATGTGGACAATATTTTAACACAGTGTTTGAATGAATGCCCAGGATTGCTAAGCAAGGACTTAACATAGTAAACAAGCGTACCTTGACCCTTCAGTAACCCAGCTGTGAATAATTTGACATTGCCGCAGTCAGAGACATACAGCAACAAACAGAAAGTAGCAGAATTAATGATGGCACTTTTTGTGTGGCACAGAAATAATCAGAATCTCCAGCAGCAGCAGAGGAAGATCTCCTTGGCCACAGCTGCCAGTGCCCAGAATGGTGGATGTGGAATTTGAATGCACGGCTGAGGCTGGAGAATATGGAGAAATGCTAATTTGTGGTGTGATAAGATGAATCGAGTCATCCCTTTAGCCCCATTTGACTCAGTGCAGGAAATGAATCATTAATGTTTGTTAAGTATGACAATCTAACTGGGCCAGATCTACATGCTCCCAGACTGAGGCAGAGTGTGATAAAGAGCGGCTGCAGACACACAGGAAAACTGCCAGATTCTGTAATGATGGGAATTTATTGGCATTTAAAGAGACAGTGGAAGAGCATTGCACTAATAGCCTTCCTCTATTGGAGTTCTCTGCCTGCCACAAATTGCATGCAATTCAGACCCATTTTTCAGATAGCACAAGTCTTACAGCTATGCTTGACTTTGGAGAAAAAGGTTGCTTCCTGGAATTGACTTTATCTGTAGCAGGGTAATCTGCATCAACACCCAAATATGCAATATCAACTGACTGGCTGCCGCTGCTGGGAAGGGGCCAGCCATCGCCCTAATATTACTTTCTCCAAATCACTGCAGCTCCAGTACCAGATTGTGGCTTTAGAAAAGTGGCCCAGAGTTAAAGTCATTGAGCCAGAATTCAGCCTCATATAGAACTGTGCAATCCTGTACCAAGACTTAAAATACTTAGACTCCATTTTGCAGAAATTGCAACGTGTCTGTGGACTTACTGGTCAGGATTAGAGTGCCCTGAGCTCCTTAAAGTTGCACGCTATAAAGATTGACATTTTCAAGGGCTTCCTTGGCTGAGACAATGCTAAAAGGGAGAGGAAAAACCAATATGACTTTGTTGCTACCTTGCTCGAGGAATTGTTTGTGTAAATCGCCTATAAGCTTATTGACCTGAATGTGTGGCGTGCTGCGTGTGACTGCGATTTGGCTACAGAGGTGTCCTTTGATGAAGCAGTGATAGGGCTGATTTTAACAGCTCACTGGTTCCTCTTGCATGCCCGCCAACCCTGAGCCCAGCAGGCCACCCCTCTCCACACTCCCCTCCCCCACGCACCCTGCCCGGTCCGTCTGCTCCTCACTCTCTGCCTTAAGTGTCTCCATTCCACTGTGGAGGGAGATGTAAATTATGATCTAGGTGATAATTTGAAGAATAATCATTGACAATTGGTCTCCCTTGATAACGTTGCAAAGGATTTCAATTCAAATCATGAAACAAAGCACTCTAGATTACTGACTAGACCTTGGTTGGTGAAATGGAGCTATCTGTTTTGACATTGTAGGGTCAATACTAAAGTCACCTCTATGTTGTATTACGTACTACCAAACAATTTCTGCATATTCCAGCAGTGCTAACTCCCTGACTGGCTTTCCCCACTGACATTTGTGCAAGAAACTTCATCAAAGCCTTGTGACATTGTTCCCTGCGAGGGTGCCTGAGTGATTGTGTTTAAAATGCATTGCAAACTGTGTTAGATAGAAGCAGAAAATCCTTAATCACTGCTTAATTAAGGAATCATCTTGTAGCTTCATTTCCCGAGCTCTAATTAAACACTTCCAATACGTTTCGTTACAGGGCTTAACATGTTCGCCTGAGATCAAGGTAGTGCCTTTAATGTTATCTCCCCCGCTTTTTTAAACTCCGCTCCATTGGAAGGAACTGTTGATATGCGCCTTTGTTATCCTCATCATAATACGAGTCTGGTATGCTAAAGAGGTTCTCCAAGCCCAACAATAAATAGTGGGGAATTTAGTTGCATGTGTGTCGTGATAATATAGTGGGAGAGGGCGGGGAGAGTGCTAGACACTTGCATAAGGAAAAGTGGGTCATAATGACCTCCTGTACTGTAACTAGGACGTGAGCAGACTAACCTTCCACATCTCATCAGTCTTTTCTACATTTACTCTGAGTGCGAGGTAGAAAGCTGACATCCTTTTGGCAGTGTTTGCTACCTCCTTTGAAGTGAGCCATGTCAAAAAAGATAAACATACACGGTGAGTACTGTTGATCTGAAGATTAACCCAAGTGTGGATGTCCCTAGGCAGTTGTCACCATAGGGAAACGCCTCATATATTGTTCTATTATGTTGCATTCCGGTTAAACCACACAAACCCTATCATTACTTGACATACTTGTACACTTTAAAACTCCCCTTGAGTCTTATGAATTTTGCCATCTTCATATTCACATTTCATATCTAGACATCCCTATTTCAACTGTATGAAGTGTAGTAATCCATTGTGGTAATCCAGGCCTGCCCTTGACCGTTCACTATTGGGTTTAAAACATCAAAGGGATGGAGACGATAAGGTGACAAAAGTGGGAGAAATGTTTTTCTGCAAACTATGGACTAGCCCTATTTGCCCAGGGCAGGTTTGCTCTTAGTTGGAGACTTTGGGAAGACTGTGTGTCAGCCACATTGGATTTATTTTGAGCACTACACTTGGGGCATATACTAAGCACTGATTTATGTGCCTATAAACTTAAAGTACAAACTGTGCTTACTGTATGCATACAGAAATAGTCTTTTTTTACACGCTGAGCTTCGAGGAACACTGGGTAAGCACTGCTGGGTGTATTGTGGTCAGTATTATGGCCCTGTAGAGATGAAGGTGGGGACTGTTTAACAAGCCTGTAGCACTTACATCCTGGAGAGAGATACCCAAATATCCCAGAGCATGGCTGAGGTGCGCTGCAGACTGTAAATCAGCACAACATCCTATAACACACATTTGGGAGAGCTCCACAATAGATCAAACGGTAATAAATAGCCACCTCGCTCCCACACATTGCTTTCCTTCCTGTTCCACAGGCCTGCCTCCTGTTCCTGCAGGCACTCATGGGAACCCCAGTACATAAAAGTGCACAGCTGGACCTGTGTGCATGGAGCAAATACACGTAGACTGCAATGCATCTACATACAATTCACTGAAATATATAGGGTTGATAAAACTATACTACTATACTAACTATATCTACAACATGTATGGGGGCTGCAAAAACAGATCAAAGAGAATCTCCCTTTTCTTTTGTTTAGAATTATGCAGTGACAAAGTATAACTGGCCACAACTTTTTATGTATGTGATACAATGTGATATATGTTTGTGCTTATAGAGAATTCTCAAATACTACATATTAGCAAGCAGTTGTTTTTTTTTTTTTGGTAGTTTTTTCTTTTTTACTGTAAAAAAAATCAGTTTAGTAAAACTTTCTTTTTTTCTGCCTAGCAGGAGAGGAAGACGGCAACCGAGAGGCAGGGGACTCCGAGATGGAGCCGAGCGAGAAGAGCCGGCAGGCTGCTGTGGGACCAGACGAATGGGACGGGCCAAGTAAGTGAAGACTCACAAATGCTAGCACCAAATGTGCACATGTACAAGTATTCATAAAAAAGGAAGCAAAACAACTGATTAAAGCAAATCCTCATCAATGATTTGCTAAAGATGGAAAATATTTATAAAAGGTTCTAATTTAAAGTTAAAGGCTTGAGGTACTATCCACATATTTTTATCTTGTTTAGTTTCCTGTAAAGACTAACTTTATCAAGGTGATGGATATTGCATTGAATTACAATTACTGCTCAGCACCAGTCTAAAGCCACACTGCTGAATGCACAAAATATGATTCCTTTTAATGCATAAAATGACCTCGAGAATTTATTGCAGGTACATGCATTTGTCAAAAAGAGAACAGTAGAGAGAGGGAGAAAAAGTGGATTTAGGCAAGTTGTGCTGGCTGGCTCTGTGCCCCCCGGGGTGTGTATTTTATACTGACAGTGAATCAGTGTTATCGCACCTATCAGATAATGCATTTATCATTAAATTTCACATTTGCATTTAAATCTGGGGAAGGAAATGAGCATTGCTGGCTAAAGATAAGAGCGCAGGGAAGACAGTAATAAACCATCACTGTGATCAGTCAGAGACAGGGCTGAGGGGGTCAGCGCCCAACCATGGGCCCTGACAAAAAGAAGGCAGCACACAGGGAGAACCACGGCCTTTTGGGTAAAGAAATGCTGAGCTTCAAAATACGGTTTTGAAAAGGAAGGATGGATGTAGCATGAGGAGATGTATGACGGTCTGTAATTATACTTCTACTTAGCCATCAGAATGAGAATGAGAGCTCGGACACACGGCGAGACCGGAGACTATGCCTGTGTAAAGCAGTGCGTGTGTGAATGGTACAGGAGGTGATGTGAGACAGGGCCATTTGCCATTTGCTGTTGTACTAAACCTCAGTGCTTTGGAGTTATCAAGAGATATCCACTGAACACTGGCCTATCTGTGCAGCAGAACAGTGAAAAATAGCACAGAGCACATGGCTGCTCCCTCACAGAAGCAAGCTTTTACATATATCAAGCCTCCTGTCTGATCTCTCCACCACTGAAAGAGTTCATCATGAGGGCCATGTGCGTTTATTTAAGTTTGCTAACATCTCTATGATATACTCACCAATTAGTGAGGAACTTGCGCTGAAGCATCTGTGCCCCTCCTCTGTTTTCTCTATGGACTGCATAGAGTGGGCAGAAATTAATCTTGGCACATAATAATGCCATTCACTCTCCAATCATGGCTGCCATGAAAGGTCATTTCCCTTTTTAATTTTTCCCATTGTGCTGAAAAAGTCAGATGGCCATGTTATAATTTGAATAAAGCAGGGAATCAGACAATCAGATAACATTTGAAATGACATGACTTCCTGTTCAAAGCGATTAAAAGCAAATTTATTTAGTTAGGAACTGTCTCCCCTTTAATCTCTTTGTAAATGTTCAGATAGTGAGAGTTGAAAAGTTCTTTGTTATTCTTTGGCTTAAGTTTAAGCAGGTGTGATTATGATCACTAACAGATAATTTTTAATCAGCGTGCATGTGCATGTGAATAGGCTGTGTAATGGCCGTCACATAAAGAGAGACTGAAGCCTTTAATGAGGTGGGCTCACTGGAACATGCCCACCTGCTTTGGTGAGTCTATTCAAGCACCTCTACAACGTTTCCCTTTTGCTGAGTAACAACAAAAGCCTTTACAATTTACATGCTGTAATTGAACTTTTTGTGCCTCTTTTTCATCTCCACTTTGGTAAGCCATGTCGAGTGCTGTCCGATCACTCGTGTGCTGTGATTGTCTTTCTGTGTGGACCAGTGCAGAGCCCAACAGAATGACTCACTATTCATCTGATAGCTGAAGCTTGCAGTGTTGTACGCAGTGCTAGGGCTCTGATGTGGAACACCCAGTGAGTCTGGTCTCTCCTCTTGTCTCCACAAGTATGTCCTTAAGCCAATCGCGCTCCCATCTTGTGTCTCATGTTCATTTCTCGTCACGGATGTTTCACAATCAGCCTGTGATTTGGGAGATAGCGTTACATGCTATTCTCTTCATTTTCATGGACTAGCAGTGATATGGATCTGACTCTAGCTCAGTCTTTCTCTCTCCTCTGGGCTAATTGGGAGTGGTGTGTGTGGTAGCTAGCTAACTCTACTAATGAACTTGTTCACAGTCTTATCTAAATGATTCCATGTAAACCACTCCCCCTCATAAAAGTCAGCCAAATGCCAGGGTTTCCTTAAGAACGTTTGAGTTGAGATTACAGCTACTGTAGAAAGGGTTAGTCACTCTGTCTGCAATACTCAATAAGTGACAGCACAATGTTATTATTAGGATCTAATGTACAAACAAAAAAAGTCAGTAAAAAAGACTTTATGTTTAAACAAACGTGTCTTGAAATGTAAATATTTTCCAATTACATGGACATTTTCAAAGATAGTCTTAAGCCATTTTGTCCCATTACTTGCACATAAAAAATACTACCCATTATTTCATTTTTCTTTTGCAAAAATGCTAGAAAGACATAAATCAAAAGCACAGACTCTGCTTTTGAGGCGAGGTGAGTGTGACAGAGAGGTAACAGAAGCAATATGATCACCTTGTCCGTAAATCTCTTGGCTGTTCCCGATGACCGGCGCTACCCAGCATGCTCGGCGGTCTGTGCCAGCTGGAAGGGGGCCAGGCCAAGGCAGGGGTCAGTCCAAAGAGAGGCCACCTGACAGACGCACAGACAAGAGCCCTTAAGACAATCTCACCCCCCTCACCTACATCAAACATGCACACACAGCTTCACTCGCATGGAAAAAGTCCTGAGTCTGTTTTTTGACTCTAGCCAACCCCGGAGCGTCTGTGGCCATTCCTCTTTCTGTTGTTTCCAAAAAAACTGCAAGAAAAAACACAATAACCATTTCAGGTTTAATGCACATATGTCAAGCTAAGAGGAAAGGAGGAGCAGATGGGCACGATACTGTGGCAGGTGCCTCAACAAATGTTTGCGGTCGCCCGAGCTGCTATTTATATCACGGTGAAACACAGAGACACGCAAATATTTGCAAAAGGACAGTGGGCCCTTTTTGTTGGGAGTCAAAGTGATCACCAAAATAAACAGATGGGATTAAACCTTTGGACCATCAGGGCCAGGACTTTGAAATTCCCATAGTTGTGCTGAAGAAGGAAGCATTGTGCCGGGCATTTTTAACATGTTGAAATTTTGTCTTTAAGAGAAAATATCCAATAGTTCTCCAGCATCATAGTTTGAATTCACTCAGGTTGCTCTCATAGTAAACAAGGCTTCTCCTAACTCAGCACCTACGTCCATTATAAAGTCAGGGTGTCGTCTGAAGGGAGGGGCCAGTGGAAATGAGCGAGAGAGACAAACGGAGCACCCAGATGCAGATTAGGCTGCAGAAGATGAGGGTGTAAAAGGGATTTAATGGTAGGATGGATTAGAGAAATCCTTGTAACAATGTTAAATAATTATGGTTCCAGCCGAGATCAAAGCGCCATTGATTGAACCCCTCAAGCCTCGGCACACAGAGTCTTGGAAAGCAAAGATTGGTAAACTCCGACCACTCTGGCTGCTCCACTTAAATTGGATTGGAAATATTAGGATACAGACCAATCCTTCAGGAGGGTTTTGCATGCAGCTTTTTGTCACCGGAAATGTAGCTTTGGGAGCTCTCTGAAGCCGTGATAGTGCACTGTCTCCACACAATCATGAGAGAGAGGGTGTCGCAGCTGTCTCTGCTGATACCTAAGCGTTTTAAGTAGACTTATAGACACACTTGACGGTTATATCAGCAAAAACTTTCAGCGTGTGCTTTCATTTCAGTTTTCTCCCCCACCGCTTTCTTCATAATCAAGAAATTTGGACGTGCATCATGGCAATTCTGCGTGTAAAAAAGGCAGGTTTTATCTAGCGTCTCCAGGGTTTTATTCAAAGTCTTCTTGTCAAGTCTCACAAAACATGAATGACATTGAGATTTCTGATAGCGGCGATGAAAGGCGTCATCAGCGCTCCTGTGAGTTCTGCGCTCTGAGTGATGTAGAATTAAACCGTAATCAAAGCAAAACATGTAAACAGTGTTTGTCTCATCCCCACTTATTCGCATTCTTAAGACATTGTTGATGAAGGCTTTCTAATTCATGCCTCACCTGTATTTGGGCAAAAAAGCTCTTTCAATTTACAATATGCGATGATAATAATGAAATATGCAACAAGAGATTAGCCAAATCACTGTACTCCAGTGCGGCGTGGCCTTGATTCAAATGCACTCACTGATCCGCTGTGCTAAGAAGCTTTATAGAAGAACTTCATGCTTGTTAGTTATAAATAATCTAAAATGCAATCACTGTTCTTATCAGGGAAGATAAGTAAAGAAAAGATAGTAAAGAAAGGCCTTGTTAAGATACTGTACCATTTAAGTCTCATGGATACTATACACTATTAACAAAAGTCTATTTAATAATGTAACAATAAGAAGAAAGAAAAAAAATTAAGCCTGACACACTTGGTTTATAGAGAAGACATCTGCAAAGGTAATATAGCAGTCTTGCAATAGTAAAAGCAGTGTACTGACCACATTGACAAAGACCATAAGCTAAAACTAAGTTATTTGCACATTTTTGCCAACATCTGTGTTGGAAAAAATCTATTTCTGAGCTGTACTGAGGGCTCTCACTGCCAGCTCTTTTCTTGTTATCTTAGCCTGCGTCATCAGAGGTATAATACTCCCTACAATGGAAGCATAGGGAGACTGGACTGCACTAGACTGGAATGGACAACAATATCACAATGTCTCTGGGTCTTGTACTGACAATAAACTTCTACGATAGAATTCCAGCATCATACCTCTACTACAAATTATTCTACAACAATATGTGTACTAATTATAATGCTATTATTATTATTATTTCATAGGATTTCATAGCATTGAATAGACAGAATATTTGGTTGGCAACACAGCTGATGTGTGTGTATCACCGCACTAAAACTGTTATGTTATTAAGTT